CCCCCCCCCCCCCCCCCTCACTTGGCTCCAGTATGATCATGATTGTGGTCCATCTTTTATCAAATCAATAGAAAAAATATCAAGATTTTTCTTAGGCGCTTCGTACATCTTTTTTTAATTGAATTTCTAACTATTTTATTGTTTTCGCCTTCAAGAAAGTCAGTCATCCTTAATCTATCCTCTCAAAAAAAAAACCTGCATATATGTTACTTCTCATGAGTATTACAATACATATACCATTTAAGGTTACACAAAACCTTAGAACCTAAGGAGAATAACAAGAATTATAAAAAGGATTATAGTGGACCATTAGGACTTTTGCAGACTATGAGAGGAAAACAGGGATAAGGACTTCGACAGAAAAACTATTATGGATTACAGACAGACGAAATATATTCAATTTACTGCCAGGAACTACTTACTACTTAAAGGGAACGTTCGCGAAAAATGAAAGGGGATATAGGCTTAATGCAAGCGCTTTTGATCGCTACTAATCTTACTTCTATCTGTTGCATCTATAAGGAGAAAATTGTTAAAAACGACAAATACCGAAGAACGTAGTGGCCATAAAAAATTGAGAAATTTGCAACGTACGACTTAGACCGTAAAAAAATCATTTTAATTTCAAACAAATCATTCAGATATTACAACCTATAGTCATCGATTATCTTTTGCCACATTTGTCTATAGTTGATTTTTCATAATATGTTTTGATTTTGTTTTTTAAAATAATATTTAGCTTACAACTTGTTTTCGAACATTACTGGAAAATATGAAAATGTCGTCTTCATTGCCAAAAATCCTCGAAACAGGAATAAATGTTTTTATAAGTAACTCTCAGATCATAACAATTAAAACCTATTATGAAAAATCAACTATATACAAATGTGGTGAAAGATAATCGATGACTATAGGTTGTAATATCTGAATGATTTGTTTGCAATTAAATAGATTTTTTTACGGTCTAAGTCGCATGTTGCAAATTTCTCAATTTGTATGGACACTACGTTCTTCGGTATGAGTCGTTTTTAACAATTTTCTCTTTATAGATGCAACAGATAGAAATAAGATTAGTAGCGATCAAAAGTGCTTTTTTATCGCATTAAGCCTATACAACACTATATAAGACTGCACAGACCTCTGATTAAGGGACTATATAGTGGACAAATATGAATAGTGGATGAATTTAAAAAAAACTGTTGTAGACTACAAGTGGTGGACACTAGAAGAACAACAATTTGTTGGCGATTTGTGCACATGTTTGATTAATTTACTTATGTCGGTCATTTTAAAGCTGTTGGAAGTATATTTTTTAAACAATATGTTTTTTTACTGCAAATCCTGAAAAACAGCTTTTTTCAAAAACAATTTTAGAAGGGGGGCTAGCCCCCCTGTAACCGCCACCCAAACCCCTAAAAATCAAATTTAGCCCTCCCCCCCTCAAAAAAGTGCTAGTTGCGCTACTGTCTGCAGCTTTCAGTGTTAAAAGTGAAACCGATGAGTAACCAAGTACACATAAAAAATAAACAATAGAAAGTGTTTGATGAATGAATAACCCGGTTATATTCGATCTTATAATATATTCTGGAGTGTATAAAAACAAAACCCATAAAACTGAAAAGTATTGAGGATTTGGAAACCTGTTTCTTCGGCATACAATAAAGCATAGAGTATATATACAATATGTATAGTATCGCCGGTAGGGAGTATAAAAATCCGTAAATGTTGAAAACCATCAGCTGGACCCGACGGAATCTTATTATTATTACATTTTCAGGGGAAACCATGACCTCTTCAGTTTTAAATAAAAAAACGACCAAGGATGCACTGTAAACAGTTAAACTTACATTAAATCATAGTCACCTCTCTTTCTGCAATTTGTCGCCCCTGAAAATTTCCCGAATTCCCCCCCCCCCCCTCATACCCCTGGCAAATTCATGCAGTGGCTATTAATGTTCAATAATTATAGGTTGGATATCTGAAATACGTCCAGGCAGGGGTGGTTTTGAGTAGCCCCCGCCCCCGGCTATCATAATATTCATAACCACCGAAAACAGCCATATATTGATTATTATATTTTAGTGAAATAATATAGGGTTTACTACTTATAGAATTGCAATTTTAAAACGTCTATACACTGTACAATGTACATTACAGGGGGGGGGGGCAGTATTTGCCCTGTTGAAGAACATCTAACTTTTCTCGAAGGAAATCTATTGTACAGGGTGTCCCAAAAAACATAGGAATTCAGTGACGAACTCGATATCGTCTTTGTTATGAATTAGCATTGTAATACCTAATTTCAACAGCCATAATATTATTATGTCTGCTAGAGTTTATTTTATGAAAAGGGTAAAAGACTGCAAAGATGTGTTTATAATGTCTCCGCAAGATGAACAGTGAAGACTGGCAAGTTTACTCTGTTTGTATGCTGCAATTTTCTTTTTTTACTAAGTACAACCGTATGCAGTCAAAACATAAACAAACAAAATGTGAACATAGCAGACGAAACTCCTACAGATTATAGCTTTCCCAGTAGGCTTCACTATACTAAATCAAAGAATTATTTGAAAAGACGATATCGAATTCGTCACTGAATTCCCATGTTTATTGGGACACCCTGCATATATTTGTTTTGATGTAGATGATTGTTGACCCTGTAGTTTTAAAATTCTGCAGTACGAAGTGTACTGCACAGAAAACAAGTTTGAAATCACAATAAAAGCTAATTTTTCTCACTTCTTAAAATCAGTTGATCCAACTCATCCAAGTGTAGAGTTTAGTCTTAGGTCTGAGGTAAATGTTTTTGTTTAGATTAATTCAATCGTTATTTTGTTTCTGTGGTTTGAACATCGTGTTTTTCCTTGTTTTATTCTGCTTAATCATAGTAATTTAAATCTTACTAAAACTGTATCTGAATGAATAAGCTACTGTTTGGTTTACATTAAATCCACGGTGCCTGATGGAGATCCTTATAAGAATATAATCAGTAAGAAATAAAAATCGTTATTTGAAATTGTAAACATTTGTTTATTTTTTTTATTTCTATGATAGTTATGAAAAACAATTGATCCAAATAGTTTTGTTTACTTTCTTTTTTATTTGAATTTTGGACAAATTAATGTTTACTATACAATTACAGAGCGTCCCGAAAATTGTAGTTTATAGCCTTAAACGATTCAATATTATTTGGGAATCCCTACGCAGTAAACATCTTTATTTAGTATGTTGCTACTGTTCTGGATGTTGGGAACGGTCACAGGAAGAATACTCAAGATGAATGCGGTTAGATTTTATACTATTGATTAATTAAAATAACAGACAGGACACTTGATGTTGTCTTTTCGATATTACGGGATTTTTTGTTCTCAATAACCCTGAGGCAGAAACCCAAAGGAGTTACGCACAGTCGGCGTAGAATCACAAGACTGAGAGCCTTTTGAGCTTTTGCCTCACGGTTTTTGTGAACGAAAAACTCCTAAATCTTGAAAATACGACATCTAGTGAGACGACATCTAGTGTTCTATCTGTTATTTTAATTAATCTATGGATTTACCCTTTTTGTTTTTTGATGCTGAAATTTGTTTACCTTAAATATGCCAGCTCTTGGACAACTTCTATCCCTTTTCAATTGTCTACCACAGACAAATTTACATAATGATTTAATTATTTACAAATTGAACCTTTCATTAAGACTAGGAATTAAGTCTTTGCCACAAATCCCTATTTTATATTTTATGTTTTATTTTATTTGCAACCTTTGATGTTTCTAGTAAGGTCTAAGTCATTGGGCTTTAAAGATTAGTAAACCAGAGTTTGTGAGAAAAAAAAACTACGTTTACAGTGGATATCGAAAAAAACTACGTTTACAGTGGATATTGAAAAAATCTACGTTTACAGTGGATATTGAAAAAAACTACGTTTACAGTGGATATTGAAAAAAAACTACGTTTACAGTGGATATTGAAAAAAACTACGTTTACAGTGGATATTGAAAAAAACTACGTTTACAGTGGATATTGAAAAAAAACTACGTTTACAGTGGATATTGAAAAAAACTACGTTTACAGTGGATATTAAAAAAAATACGTTTACAGTGGAAATTGAAAAAAACTACGTTTACAGTGGATATTGAAAAAAGTTTTCTTCCCCCCACTCTACCTATAATGCCATACAGTGGTAAGCGATTATATTTAAACGATGAAGAGGACTTTAGATTTCAATTTTTATACATATCAAGCTTTTTATCCGCATAGATACATCACGCACCTCTGCCCCTTTAGTAAAAGTAAATTCCACCTAAATGGAAGCATAAAGTCTGACCGCGTCAACCTTGTTGCACTGGCTAGTCCTGTCCATAGAGTTAGGTACAGTACAAACTGGGACATGAAAGGTTGACCCGGCTCGGAAATTCATATGTACTACGGCTGCCCGTGACATAAACAAAGATAAATTGTTGATTAAAAAATATTCTCTTTGATTAATCGTAAACTTGTAATTCGAAAAAGCTTGTGAACAATCAACTAAAATAAAAAAGGCTTCTGCATCGTTTCGATAAATCGCCTACCATTGTAATTTTTGAGCTTGACATGTTTTAGCAATTTTTTTTTGGAATTTTTAGGAATTACCAGAGATCATTGATGGATACAATACTATTGAAACCATGAGTATGCATGAGGAGAAACCACCACTACAGTTCAACTATGGACAATCAAGGTCTCATGTTAACAATCGTGTTGTTCCGAGTAGCTTGGTTCCTTACACAGCTAGGCCTAGGCAAATACATAGCAAACCATCCAGGCTGTCTCCATATGCTTCTGAATTCATGCATCAAGGTCATCGGTCCAACAAAAAAGTTGATCAAAGGTAAAATTTTTATTTTTAAGAACCCCCAAATGCAAAGATGACAATGCCCGACTTACAATGGTACCCTTTAGACTTTGATTTGATAAAAAATTGGAAATGTTACATTTTTATAATTTTTCAAGTATTTTCTTGTGGACACGAAAATAAAAATAAAAATAAAAACAAAAGCATGAAGTTCATACTTGATCAGACAAAGCTTTTCAGGGTGTCGTTGTACATTGGGCATTGCTATATTTGTATGGAGGGTCACTTGAAATTACGCTTACAGTTTCTTTAAGTCTTCTCTTAATTTGGATCTCATTGAAGGACTTTAAACAAACACCAACTCGAAGATGGTTCCAACCTTAGATATGAAGATTCGAGCAATATTTATGGATCGTCTGCCATTAGATATGGAGCCTCAGTCGCTCAATATGGTTATTTTCCAACTGTTCAGAGAGATGTGAGTAAGGCAAATAATAATTTTGGCTACGAGGACGCCAGTTACAAGGACACCAGCTACAAGGGGCCCAGCTACAAGGAGATTGATGCCAGCTACAAGAGGCCCAGCTACAAGGAGATTGATGCTAGCTACAAGAGGCCCAGCTATAAGGAGCCCAGCTACAAGGACGCCAGCTATATGGGGCCCAGTTATAAGGAGCCCGGCTACAAGGAGCCCGGCTACAAGGAGCCCGGCTACAAGGAGCCCGGCTACAAGGAGCCCGGCTACAAGGAGCCCAGCTACAAGGAGCCCAGCTACNAGCTACAAGGATCCCAGCTACAAGGATCCCAGCTACAAGGATCCCAGCTACAAGGATCCCAGCTACAAGGATCCCAGCTACAAGGATCCCAGCTACAAGGATCCCAGCTACGAGAAGCCCAGCTACAAGGAGCCCAGCTACAAGGAGATTGATGCCAGCTACAAGGAGCCCAGCTACAAGGAAATTGATGCCAGCTACAAGGAGCCCAGCTACAAGGAAATTGATGCCAGCTACAAGGAGCCCAGCTACATGGAGATTGATGCCAGCTACAAGGATCCCAGCTACAAGGAGATTGATGCCAGCTACAAGGAGCCCAGCTACAAGGAGATTGATGCCAGCTACAAGGATCCTAGCTACAAGGAGATTGATGCCAGCTACAAGGAGCCTAGCTACATGGAGAATGATGCCAGCTACAAGGAGCCTAGCTACATGGATTCCAGTTACAAAGATGCCCCAAAGCCAGATCTTCTTTATCGTCGGGCTGAGGCTGATGGATATTATGGATATGCGGCTAGGTATGAATTTTGATTTACATTAATTTCTAATGTTAAGATGTATATGTTTTTATCTAAATATTCAATTTTTCTATTTTAGAGGCCAACCTAGGTATTCTGCTGAATCTTCCTATAAACCTAGTCCAAGGAAAGTTTCTCATCCAATGGAAGTTACTGGGTATAAAGGATATGCAGCAGATCAAGCTAGTTCTAATTCCTTTGTCATCAAAGATGTTTTTGATAACAAAGATGTCTATATGAGCAAAGATCTGATTACTCCGATTGAATCTAAGACTATGGATTTAATAGCAGTTGACTCTTACAAGGTGATTAACATATATTAACAAAGTAGTATTCTCTATCTCTTTGGATGTCCATTCACAAATCATGAACTCCTTGATTTGTCTCAAATTTTGATTGGGAAACTTGGTAGTATGAGGGAAATGTTATTTACTTAGCTCTAATTCTAGTTTTAGGGGGATATTATTTTTCAAAGCAGGAATTGTTTCAAAACTAGTTATAATAGTTTTTAACTTAAATGATTTTTAGACTTCCCGTCCAGAAGATGCTTGTGTAGACTATCAGTATCATGTTCTGTCTGCTATTGAACTGTTGGATGTTAATAATGCGGTAAGCAGTCTTTCATTTAAATTTTTAGCATTTCCTTTTCGAAATATTTCTATTTTTGGCAGACTTACCTTTTTGGTTTAATTAATCTTTTGTTTAAGCCAATGTATTTTAGTTATGTTTTTCTTTCATAAGGTTGCTTTATTAGAATTATTTCTCCTAGACCTGTAAGGACCAGTACAGGGATTTAAGAACAGGAGTAGCTGATAGAACTCTGTTTGATTATTGTCTTGAATCTATCTTTGTCAAGGTGAGATACTTATTTTGAATGAATAGCTTAGTTGCATATTTTTCTTGTTACTATTGCCAGTGCTGTCAATTTGTTTTTGATATACTTGAAGTTTATTTGTGAGCTAATTTTAAATTTGGCCTTGAACCAACCTATACCGCTCTGCCTTTGCAATACTGTACAATTAATATGTGTACACAGCCCTACAGCTAAAGCCTAATAAGTTAATTTCTGTGAGTCTGATTTTTGTACCCTGGACAATCTCAAAAAAGGTGTATAATTTAAGAGTTATGTGTGATTGTACATCAGTCCGATGAGAGCAAACACAATCTTACCAGTGCTATGAAGGGTAGTAGCTCTAGACCTTTTCAATGTAACAAAGCTTTTTTCAAAATATATTTTAGGACGAGGTGCAGGGTATTCTCCAGAAGGGAAGAGATCGTAGCGGAAAGTTCTTTGGCACAAATGGAGGTTGGTTAATTTAACAAGCTATATACTCTCTCATAACTTCGGGAACTTTGATTAAGGGTTGAAATTTTCTCGATTTTAGATTAAGGGTTATAATGTGATCTGAAATTTTGATGTGGATGTTTGATAAAAGGTTAAATTTGGATTTGAGCTGGATTTTGGATTTAAGGTTAAATTTTTGGATTTTGGAATAAATTTTATCTGGATTTTGGATTTAGGGTTTAATTTTATCTGGAGTTTGGATTTTGGGCTAAATTTTATCCTGGATTTTGGGTTAAATTTTATCTGGATTTTGGTTTGAGTGTTATTTTATCTTGATTTTGGATTTAGGTTAAATTTTATCTGGATTTTGTTTGATTTTTAATCTTTATTTGATTTTTTTGGCTGACTTTTGATCAGCATTTTGATTTAGGGTTGAATTTTGATCTGAATTTTGGATCTTGGTTTGGCGATGGTCACAACAACAACAAGAACAATGGTTTGAAGGAGGATGAATGGTTTGGTATGTGTTACCCTTTTTTATCGCGCTCCTCTTGGATTTTCTTATAATAATAATTTTTTTTTTTTAATTAAGATGAAAGTTTCCTTTTTTAACTTTTAAATGCATGCATAATTCAGAATAATTTTGTTCTAAATTCTGTGAAATTTGTTTAAATTTGTCATTCCGAAAAAATGTTTTCTATAAACTATAACTTATAATAAATGTTAAGTATTGTAAAATTAAAGAAAATGTCAGTCTGCTTTAAAATGGCTGAATTTCACTCTTTAATTTACTGTAGACGACTGGAACAATGACAGTTGGTGCACGCCAAGAGAGTTCTGTAGGAACTGCAGCAGGCGTGGAACTTGTTGCAAGTAGGTTTTTTTTTCTTTGCATTTCTTCTATTTAGAAGGTACAGAGACCGTTTGTATAATATAAAGGAGGTATTGTGACCGTCTGTATAATATTTATCCTATCTAGGAGGTATTGTGACCATTTGTATAATATTTATCCTATCTAGGAGGTATTGTGACCGTCTGTATAATATTTATCCTATCTAGGAGGTATTGTGACCATCTGTATAATATTTATCCTATCTAGGAGGTATTGTGACCGTCTGTATAATATTTATCCTATCTAGGAGGTATTGTGACCGTCTGTATAATATTTATCCTATCTAGGAGGTATTGTGACCATTTGTATAATATTTCTCCTATCTAGGAGGTATTGTGACCGTTTGTATAATATTTATCCTATCTAGGAGGTATTGTGACCATCTGTATAATATTTATCCTATCTAGGAGGTATTGTGACCGTCTGTATAATATTTATCCTATCTAGGAGGTATTGTGACCGTCTTTACTATGAGGGAGATCAGGATGACTACCCCTGCAGCAGGAGATATTGCGGTAAAAATGGATCCAGCAGCCAGTGCAGGTACAGTTCACTCATAACCAGTAAAACCTGGATTTAAAGGGACTGTAAGCGTAATTTCAAGTGACCCTCCATGCAAAGATGATAATTTCCGATTTGCAATGGTACTCTTGAAACCTAAATCTGATTTAAAAATCCGTTATTTGACTCGGAAAGTATTTATTTCTCTCTTGCAATTCACTTTCGCAGAGAAATTGCATATAAAAATAAAAAAATTAAAGAAAATAAAACATTGTCTGATTAAGTATGAATTGGATATCAAAGCTTTTAAATCTTAACTAATTGGGTACATAAGTAAGTAACGAAAGACGTAGTTGAACTATGAACAACGTAGGCTTAAGTTAAATCGGCGCACAAGAGACAACTTGGCTTAAGTGGTTTAACCACTTCTTGCTATTTATCAAATCTGGTCTTTTATGATTTTTATCGGTTAAGATGTATATTAAGTCATATGCATATTAGCCGATACAAATTACAAAATTTTAAAAATTTTTTATCGCAAAAATCACAGGCGTGTATGTTAAGTGAATTTTAATTCCGGTTTTCATATTTTAAGCTCATTATTATTTCTTTCGGTTTAATTGTTTTTTTTATGAATCTGTCTAGGATGAATAATGCATATTGTTTAATGTTACATTTGACCTAGAATACTCCTAATTCAACACACATGCATCAGACATTTAATGTCTTTAAAATAAGGGAAAATTTATGTTTTGTATCCGGAGAATTTCCTGTTGCAACTTTTTTGAGATTAAAATTATCTGTAATGGAATCTGTCTCAGTTTACCTCTTTGATTTTTTGGCGAAATTGTTTGCGAATATTTTAACCTAATTCTTTACTTCAAATTGCCCTTCTCTCCATACAGCTCTCGTCGAAATTTTTAGACAAGGTTTTAGGCGCAATTTTTCGTTAAATGTTTTGAAATCCGTTAAAGTGTAGTCTTTAATAAATTACATTATTTTTCAAAAATAAGCGAATACTATTGGGAATGCAATGTTAGTCATAGGGGGTATTGATCCCTTACTTTCAATTCTTAATTGTTAAATCTCTATGTAAGTATGTATATTTTGGATACATGTAACATGGGTTATAAGTTCATTTCGCTTTTTGTTGGTAGTTTTTGAACATCTAAATTTTAATATTTTTGAACTTTATTTTACAATTTTACATTTATTTCAATAATTCAATTGTTTTAATGAGGTTAAGTGTATGTTTTGTATATACACTGCATGCATATATAGTATATATATTATATAAATCTATCCTTTTATAGTGTAGTAATCGTTTCAACTTTAACAGGGTATATCTCTTCTGCATATTTATTCAGGGGTTGATCATAACAATAATCAATTTTTAGAAAAACTTAAATTTAGTAAATAAGGAGGGGGTGAGAATTTTTTTCTTTCCAGAGAAAGTATATTTTCCCTAAATCTGATATAGGTCCAAAAGTTCGGTAGTGAAATATGGCTCGATGGCTTTAACTCAGAGATAGGAAATTTCAGGGGTTGGGGTGGGGATGCGAGGGGAGGGCTGGGTGAGGGGGTCATTGTCCCAAACTTTAGAATGGTGGATATCGAGATCAATGCTTGATCCTCTCTTTTTGCTAATATCAGGGCTAATTAATTTCTAGAGATAAGAGATGCATTTTTTAACCTTTAAAAACCGGTTTTTAATTTTCCCGCATTTTTGGTGACATATCAATGGGACTAATGATCGATTAAACGAACGTAAGTTTTGGATTAATGTTTATTAAGATTAATGTTCAAAAGGACTTAAGTCCTGAAACATGATACAAATTTTTGTTTAATAATTCATATTAAACCTATTCCCGCTGGGGGGGGGGGTCAATTTGACCCCCCCTATGTATTTTTTTTAAATAACTAAAAAAGTATTGGTTTGAGGCTGTTGAAATTTTCTGACTTTTCCTACATACCCAAAGCCTTTCCTTTAGGCCTAAAACCGGGCTTTTATACTAACTGCCTGAGTCCTCAGGCACACTGCCTGAATGACTGCTTTTTCCTGTAACAAACTAAATCTTTGTTTTGACCCACTTCTACTTGTCAGATTTTGATAAAATTTAGCTTTTGGAACGCCTTTTTTTGCAAACATTTTTCTATATAACTGGATTTTGCGATAAAGAATTCAATTTTTGCAAATTTGCAATTAATTGCATATTCTTAAAGTAGAGCACAAGAGCTTTCCAATGATGTATCATTTGTCATAATTGGACATCAAACATGGGATTTAGAGGGGGGGTCAAATTGACCCCCCCCCCCCCAGCATATCCTGGTTTTCAAGTACCCCAGCAGAGATAGGGTTAATGAGTGCAGTGTAGCTTTTTATATTCAATGTTCAATGTTCAATTCCAATGAAAATAAATAGTTCGGCGTTGATGGCTTGCTATACGGATGTAAGACAGAATTAAATTGGATTTTAGCTAATCCGTAAATTTGAGTTCAAGATTAGCAAAAGCATAACTTTTTAATCCAATTTTTTATTTCTTAATAAAAGCTAAACAATGTTTATTTATTTGAATAGAACTACACTTAAGAATAATCGCCCTGAATTTCTAGTTTAATCTAATATTACTAATGTTGAATAAACTATATTGTATTAAGATTATTATATATATATATATATATATACTCA